TCACGATTCATCGCGTTCCTCGCCTGAGCCCCAACAGTACCATTCGCAACATCGCCGAGGGATCTGACTCGACGGGAAAACTCCCTGAGGCCTTCTTTTTCACCCTGCATCAAGTTCTTGAACTCTGCTCGGGCCCCAGCTTGTGTCTGAAACGGCATCATGCTGTGATCGAGTTCAGCCAACATCGCTGCCAAAGTTGGTGGTTCGAATCCCTCCACTTCCTCGCGGAAGTAGGCTGGCATGCTGGTGAATTCGTCAAGTGCCCAAGCCGTCAGGCAAGTTGGCAGGACCATCCGGGCTTGCTCGTTGTCCCACCGGTTCGCATCGGCCACACACGCAAAGTGCTTTCTCCAGTCCGCCCAGTTCTGGTAGCTGCTGGACAAAAACCTGTCCGGACGTATCGTCCCGAATCCGAACACGCCTTGCTGTCGGTCGAGGGCGTTTGCTGCCGCCACGGCAGCCTCTGCCATCAGTTGACGATATTCTTCGTTCATCGCCATTGCAATCGTATCGTCTAGTAGTTGATCAAACGTATCGTTTCACGCAACTGTAGTCCAAAGAGTGCCCACCCAGGAGCTCCAATGTCGTCTTGAGGAATTTGACTGTTAAGACCCAATATATCCTTTCTATATTGTCCGCTGAGTCCCTTCCCTAAATACCAGAACTATCAAGGGGTGAGCTGTGATCCGGTATTTGGCGACAATCCCTTCGGTTGAAAGGCTAAATTTGGTGGTCGATTGATGCACTACACTGGGTTGCATCCCCTTTACTCAATTGCTCTCGACTGTTCATTTCCTCGGAAAGAATCGCAAGAAACTGGATAGTAATTGAATTCAGAAAAAAATATATAAATTGCTGAGTATAATTGGCCTGAATACAATTTCTTTAGTATCAATGAATTTAATCTGCGATAAGTTCCGGAAAGCTGCCTCTTGCAGTTCACTTTACAAACAATTCTGAACAACTCTTCAAATTTGCTTCACAAAGCTTCACTAAAAATCTCGCGTCGGGAACTCACTTTAAAAATTTCACGAGTCACTCTCGGGACCCGTCTGAATTCTATAAGTCTCCTCTTGTTCTCTCTAACTAACTGAGAACCAACCGTTCGCTCTCACAGCCCAATTGTTCTCTCACTAACGAAAACCAACTGCTCTCTCTAGTAGCTAACACTGTTCTCACCAGTTCGGTGGTTGTGCCTTAATCGCGTATCGTTATCTTTATTTACTTTCGGTTCGGCCAGAGGCGTGTCGTTCCCTATCCCTTCTAACATTCAGTTAGCTAGCTGCCACTCAGGACTTATCAGCTGAATCAATCATTAGGTCAGCTTTAATTAAACATCGGGGTGGCACTTAGTTAATCAGGACATACCGAGCAAACATTGTGTTCAACTACAAAATCAGCTCCCAATCGTATATGACAAATGATCCTTGCATGATTTTATTTTTGTTCTTCGTAACTTTTTCCCTTTCCTATGAATTGGGTAGTTCTCACACAACCGGGAATTTAACTTCCGTGATACTTGAAAAGTTTCCATTTTTGGTCATTTTTAATTTTATTCCCCTAAGTCCAAGGGCTGGGTAATTCCCTTCCCCGTGTCCGTTTTGATCCGAAAAAACACCACAAGAATTTATTTAATATGCTGGGGCTTCTCATAAAATCTTCATCCCGAAATTCCCATTTCCCCCCATAGATGTTCCCAATTTTTGTCCCGGGGCTGTATTTTTACTTGTTTGTCGTTCTTATCGAAAGTCCAAGTGGAATGAGTTAAGCTGACCCCAATGTTTGCTAATTACAGAAAATCACTTTCGCTCGGGTATAAAGGTCAAAACTAAAAATTCTTGATGTAGGGGCCTCCACTTACCTCCCAAGGTAGGTAGGTACCCCTTACGGGTCCTTTCAATGCTAATTTACCGCTTCTTAGGGGGTTCCGGGGGTCTTGGGGTCAAAAATGCCAAATGACCTCTTAGAGGTCATCCGAGGTCAAATGAGGTCAAACGCATCCAAACGTCTTATTTCCGATGGGAGATCATTCCCACTAAGTTTCATTCATATCGGACCATCCCTTCCCATATTTTCGATAAGTTCGTGTCAATTAATATTTTAACCTTAAATTGCCATTTTCACACCATAGGAAGATTCGGAGAGGATTGGGTCACTAGGAGGTCCCCTACTTGGTATGCCCCCCTTCACATTGGTGCATTAAAATCACAAGTCAATTATCACTATCAGGTGTTAATAGCCTAATTCAATTTTCAAGTGCTAATAGCTTCCGACGTAGCCGCCGGATTGGGTCCAAACATTAATACATTATAGGTCTTCCCCCAACCTACCATCCCCCCAAGTTTCAGCCTCCTAGCATTATCAGAGGTCGAGAAACAACGAAAAGTAAGTTTTGTTTACATAGGGCGTAAAACCGGAAGTAATAACCGGATGCGTTCAAAATCCCGGTGGTGAACTTCTCTCGCCTAGGGCTACAACATATTGCAATATGAAGTCATTCTGACCATTAGTTACCGGTTTACAAAAAGTTCTAATTGCATTTTCGGAAATCAGTATCCGGGGTCTGGAAAATGGCATGCCCGGCTAAAATCATCTCTATTAGTCAGCCACCATTTTCATAAGGATCGGACCAGTGGTTCCCAATCCGGGGGGTTTCCATATTTTGCGCGCTTTTCCAATTCATCGCCATAGAGGTCAAATTCAAGGTGCAGAGTCCAATTACGATTCTTTGCTCTCAAACTAAGCTTATTGAAGAATCAATCTTTCGCTCAGGTTACTATAGCTTGTAATACAGTAGAATCTACTGTCGGCATTTGCCAGGGATGAGGAGCACGAAATATCAATCAAATTCATGGTTCGAATAAATGTCGGCTGGGGTTGCTATTTGAGTTGGTTAGGATCGATAACGGTGGTGTAAGATTGTGTTGCTGCTCAAAAGATCATGTTAAGAAACTTCAATTTGAATTAATTTTGGGGTAATTTTTCAAGTAATTTCGAAAAATTTTCAAGTAATTTCGAAAATTTGGCCCAAAATTTTTTTTTTTCAACCGCAAATCGAATTTCGTACGCAAACAAACATTTTTCGAAAAAAATTTTTTGCATGCAAAAATTAATATTTTGTGTGCATAACGTAGTCCTGGATACGATAAAATTAGCTTTCTTCACTGAAATTTTTTTTTCAAAAACGCTTAAAATTCCTATTTCTTTTGTATGGGGTGTTAATGTATGCCTTGATCAATGTCTGATAATTTGAAAATTCAAAAATTTAAAATAATCACCATTAAAAAATTTTGCCAAAAACTAAAAGTTTGTTGCTTTTGTTATATCAATTGTGAAAGACAGCCCAACTCAGGTCGTTTTCTATGCATTATAAATGCAAAGACCGTCCAACCTTTGGTGCTTTGAGTAACCAAGGGCTTTGTCACTTGTGTTCGGCTGCAAACACAACGTAAAATTTTTCAGAAATAAATTAAGAAAGAAAAATCAAACTTTTTGCTTTATGGAAAAACATCTATCATACAATTTTCATTTATGGAAAAATGTTTATCATAGAGATTTCATACAATGTTCTGTACGTATGGCATTGTATGGAATTGTATGACAAGAAGTTTCTCTTATATGGGAATTGTATGATAAGGAGTTTCGGTCATCCCGGGAACCCACTTATTTGTAAGTGCTGAAACTACTTGTAGTTTCAGCACCAGAGCAATTTGAATTAAGCTTAGAATACAGTTGTTCTCGTTCTGGAACTAACTCGCATAAACCGGTGTACACTAGATCTACTGAGACTAGGAGATATAAGAGTAAGATTAAGATTGGTATTAGACTAAGAAGTTACGCGAATCTATCCGGCCGAAAAAAAGATAGCGTGACGAGCAGACGGTGTACCTTATCTGAAATTACTCTATGAGTATAACCAATAGATCATAACTCAATCGATTGTTTTAAACATAGGTTCGATAAGGGTGATAGTTAAAAAGAATCAATCCCAATCCGTTGAACCAAATGATTTTTATCAGGATGAACTTAACGAAATTGCAAATTGTGTCAAGTAGTCAACTCAAATTAGAGCAGGATTGATTTTGTGTAACCATTCTCAACATTCAAGGTCCAATTAAATAGGTAAAATATGTTATTGATTGGACAAAAAGTGTTGGATGAAAAACGTGTAAACCAATTTTGGGCATCATTTAGCTTCGAATACTGATCAAGACTTGGCAATGAAATAAAAAAAAAACAGGAGTGAAAAGATTAGTTTCTAGCATTGTTTGCTTAAAACTGATAGCTTCTTATCAGCAAAACCGTTTGAAAAACACGCTTTACTTTCTTAATCTTGAAGACAATCAAAGTTATCTCAATACATAACTGAACCGAATGTTATTAAGTGTAAACTTTTCCCAATCATAATACTTGAGAATTTCGGACGACCAAACTCATCATATAAAATTCACCGTCTCAAACCTCGTATCTTAATACATGGCAACATCTGCAACCTATCTCTATACTTTGACATTATGTTCCCAATTGACAATCTTAATACGTAGCCGACGGTACCGCAACTCTATAACTTAACTCAAAATATAGAGGACCCCCGATATCCCCCCTATCTCTCCACCATTTACTGCTTGGCACTCTATAGGATATTGAGTAAAAAATAAACACGTGAAATGAAAACCGCGTGTTTAAAGGATATAAAAATGTGAAACCTCATGTTAAACACATGCTGAGTTTGCATATTTCGATACGCTTCGACAGTTTAATAAAAATAGAAATCAAAATGAGTTGTTTACAATTTTTTGTGTATTAAACAATCCAGGTTGTATATAAGACAATTTAGATACTAGTTTCGTTTTAAACAGTTGATTCTTCTCACAACGCAAACAGCGTCGATATTTGCCTGGAATGAGGAGCACGAAATATTTCTCAAACTCATGGTTTGAATAAATGTCGGTTGGGGTTGGTATATGAGTTGGTCTAAGTTTGTATTGCTGCTCAAAAGATCATGTTGAGAAACTTCAATTTGAATTAATTTCGGGGTAATTTATCACTTGACAACCAAACTCTGACAATTTTATATTAATACCAACTTCAGTCAAATAACTCTTTTATAATTTCTCACAACACATGCATACACATTTTCTTCGCACATTTTTTCCGGGATCATACGGGTTTTGGATTTCGTAAGATTTAAAATCCATTTTTTTAGTAACTTGAACTAACTTGAAATTGAACATATTTACAGAGCGTGAAATTAGATGAAAACGGCAGAAAAAAATCTTTTGTTTTGCAATTAAATTGGAGTAAAATGTTTTATAACGATCAATTGATGACAATAATTTTTGTAATTAGCCTGATTTTAGAAAAGCTCAGTTTTAAGGAATTTAAATTGCAGCTTTCAAAACAAACGTCTATATCATTTTATGATAACAATTTTCTAGATGGCGTGGTAGCGCGGTAATTACAGTGAGACAAACTAATCTACAATTAGTTGGGTTATGCAAATCTTTTTCACCTTATTGCAGACGGGAGAAGACATTCATTCGGTACAAAATGCAAAATGCGTATATGTTTAACATTTAAAATTGTACTTAGCAGTAAACTTTTAAGAAAAAACTTCTTCGAGGAGATGATGTTGGAAGATCCAATCCATTGAACAACCAAATGCTGATTCTAATTATCAGGACAAACTGAACAAAACTGCAACTTGTCTGAAAAATAATTGATTCAAAATTCTCAACAGCCCAAGTTAGTTTTTTTTAAATGAGGAGGTAAATTGTTAATCAAAAAGTAATCAAAACATGTGTATCATTTCTGGGTTTCATTTTGCCTCGTATATTTTGCTTTAAAATTTGGCTACGATTTGAATGAAACAAATTCTCCCGTTAAGCAAACTATTGTGTCAACACGTTTCTATTTTATTATTCGTCAGGACAATCAAAGTCTGATCAAAGATGAGTAAAATAAGGACCAGTCCTGAATATTTCTTCAATCACTGATGTCATTTTGATTGCAATGTCGTTGTTAACTTATTCATTTTCGATATTGCAAGCGTCGTTTAAGCAGCCAACAGCAGTTCCAGCAAGAGAACCAACTGCGACAGCCGCAACCTCGGCCATCGTTGAAACCCCCACGACGCTTACTGACTGCGCAGCCGCAAACAAGCTTCCACTAGTCACTGCAGCTCCTAAATACACAAAACATGTTGTCCATAAAAAAACTTTTTTTTTCTTTATTTTTGTCTTTGATCAGCTACAATGGGAAAAACTAAATGATAGAAAGACTGTTTTTGTTCAAAAAGAGTCCTGCAGGCCGTTTCAGGTATCTCAGCTCCAATCGCGACAGAGCATTGAAAGTCTTTCTGAAAAAAAAGCCTTTTTTTCTACGTTTTGCATCCCCGATCCCCGACACCAAATGAAAACTACGTCTATACTTCTTTTAGCGTGAAGCTTTATTTGGATCCAAAAATTTGTAGAATATTGTAATAGTACTGAGACGGTTTAATTTAATGCTTACGTTACACGTTAATACTGGCAATTAACCACTATTAATTATCCCAAATTGGCCAAATGGTTTTTTTTAAACTACCCATAATCTGCAAATTTTTGTTCCAATACTTAAAAAATGACATCAATTCAATATCATTTAGATGGTAGAAAAAATTCGTCATATACCTAAAAAGAACTCGAAATTTTTCGGAGAAAAAACATCCCGGTCACAAATTTGCGTCAAAATCTTCTAAAATTGGCATAACAAAAATTTAGTTTTAAGTGATTCCGCCCAAAACTTAAGTTTCAATATCTTGAATTGGAAATTTTGAATTAGATTTTTCGAAAATTTTCATTTAAGATGAAAAAAATATTGATTTTCGGCGCAATAAGTAAAAAGGCCCAAAAATGGCTTGAAAAAAATGGCTATAATTAGCCAACCACATTCTAGTTTCCGCTCTCAATGGTTTATATATATGTAGACTTTTAAATAAAATTATTAAAAAAGCCGAACTGATTGAAAAAAATAGTTTGGGACCATGTTAAAAAATCTTCTCGCCTCCTCAAAACTATTTATATTTCTGTGCATTGATTAGCTCCGCTAATCATCAAGATTTTTTTGTATTAAAGAGTGGCAAAGGGAGCAATTTAACCCTTTTTACAAATAAACTCAAAAAGAAAAGTGCAAAACATAAATTATGCTAGAGTATGCAAAAATTATAGTTTTTATATTCGATTGGTTGTTACAAGTCGGCTAGAGTTTTCAAAAATGACCGCTCAAAACTGACAGCCTAGAAAACAATATGGATATTTGAAACTAATCTGAATCTTGAGATTTGAGATAAGAAAACTTTCCTTCCATTTAGAATAATTAACGCGCAACTTACAGATTAATTTCAAAGTTCTTTTAAAATAAATTCTCTCGCAATTCGCAAACATTTAAGTTTTTGGAATTATTCTTTTGCGAACAAAAATTAGCCGAATTGTGATGATATAATTTATTGAATTGAATTGTTCTTTGTTCACGCATGTTTTTGCGATTGATTGAATTTTTACTGCATTTTGTGCTGTGCAAGCATCTATGGTGCTGATTTCAAGTAACCCGATATAATGGTTTTGGCAAAATTTGCTTGGAGTCTTACCAGCTTGTTATGGTGCAATTTTTGATGCAAAATTTTCAATCAAAATCATAACCTGAAGACGTGCCAATTCGTTTGGTTCAAAATTAAATAGGTAATCAATGTTAATTGATGCAAGAGTAACTACAATTGACCCTGTTTACCTCCTTAATTTTGACCAAATGAATCGACTGTCATAAAGGTGCAATTTTGATTCAAAATTTTGCAGTAAAATTTGCACCATACAAAAACTGGTGAAATTGAACGCACTTTTTATCCTCAGCTTTTTGTGGCCAAATATAACCACAAATGAGAAAAATAGGTTTAAATTTTTGCTTTAATTCATTTCATTTGGTTGTTTGAAACAACACTGTAGTAGCTTGCGCAGCATAAAATGCAGTGAGGATTCATTCAATCGCGGAAATATGCGTGAACAAAAAAATAACTCAACCCAGTGAATTATATCCTCAGAGCTCGGCAAATTTCTGCCTAACGCAAAAAGAATTAGTTCAATATTTGTGAAATAAGAGTAAACCTATAAAATGAACTTGTTTTGAAAACACCGTGTACTTATTTTTTTCGAATCATAAGAAGAGATTTAAATCCTTCCAAATTAAGTTGAGGCAAGTTTACTGGTCTTTTCAATTCTTACCTGGTGTTTAAGATAAACTTCCTTCAAAGAAAATGTCTCCATTTTTTTAATTGAAGATGAGCTGAAATGTATGATTACGTAAGACGTTAAACAATCCAAAAAATCTAAATGAATGGGTTGCAATTAAATTTTGTGAAATTTACATTGTGAATTTTATATCAATTAGTAGATCATATATTATTGTATAAAAAACAATTCTTAGATCAATCTTTAAGAGCAAAAATTATCAATAAAAATTTTCCGAGACATGCTGTAAATTCCAGATATATCTCATGACTGACTGATCTCATATCAAGGATTATGAAAGATATTCATTGAAGAATGTGTTTTAGACTTTATCAAACTTTCCCAATTTGACCAGATTTTGTTCGCCGTTGGCAATTTTTTTGAAAAAACACAGGCCAACAAACGCGGTTTTAGGCACTTTTTAAAAAGTGCTTACACAAAATTTTTGAAGTGCGTTCCTCCCAAAATTTAGTATGCATTGGCGCCAATGGCGCCCTAGGAAAAATTTTGGGTTCGTTAAGTCTAAAATGGATGTCTTAAATTAGTAGTAAACGGGGAACCTTTGCATCGTCACGGGGTCGAATCACTGAGAAAGTAGGGAGAGGGGGACGGCCATTCCCCCCTCCAAAATCTATTTCTGATCTCAATTTTACTTTTGGGGAAAGAACATTAGAATTTAAAAACTCAATAAATCTGTCAATTGATTTTATCGTAGTTTCAGTAACGCTAAAGCTGAAACAAAATGTTTTCATAATAAATGTACCTTGCATTGACGCGGCAATAGACCCAGCAGCAATTCCTGAACTGGTGAAGCCAGCAACAGTGAGCACCATAGGCGCTGCAAAAATTGCGCCGGCACCAACTGCTGCACCGCCAACTGCATAGTATAACAAATCCCAGCATACCATTTTGAAGTTTCCTTTCTAAATCATACAATTCTGAAAAAAAAATCGTTTAATTTAATCGAACAATTTTGAATATGATGCTGATATCATATTTTTAAACAATTCCTGTCAAGAATCCACGAAAGTTTCTGCGATATTTCTCTATTTGGAATTTTTTGTTCCGACTTCTGAAGAAAGGATGAAACATATCTGATCGACATCTTGAAGTTAACAGAAAATTTATCGTTTTGCCTGTCATCGTTTTTGAAAATAGATTCTTGTAAATTGCCAATTGGACCAACTGGAAAAAAAACATGCTACTTTGTTACTGATTTATACAGTATGCTGATTTAAATTATCCGGACGAAACGAACAAAACTTGAATTTTCAAACGCGTTTTTCTCAAATTGGGTTAAGATTAGACAAAAAGTGAAGAAGACAAAAGTTGCTTGGAATTTTACCAGAAATAATATGGTGCCATTTTTTCTCCGAAATTCTCAACAAAAACTTTACCTCAAAAATGGGTCATTTTGACTTTTTTCAATTAATCAAGAATTACGCTGAAACTATTTTGTTAATTGATGGAGAATATATATCACTAGAAGCTTCCAACACAGCCCAACAAAGTTTTAGAAGGGTTAAATCTCCAAAAACCAGTAAAATCCAAAAGCTTCTAGTGATATATATTCTCCATCAATTAACAAAGTAGTTTCAGCGTAATTCTTGATTAATTGAAAAAAGCCAAAATGACCCATTTTTGGGGTAAAATTTTTGTTGAGAATTTCGGAGAAAAAATGGCACTATATTAATTCTTGTGAAATTCTAAGCAACTTTTGTTCTCTTCACTTTTTGTCTTATCTTAACCCAATTTAAGAAAAACGAGTTTGAAAATTCAAGTTTTGTTCGTTTCGTCCGGATAATTTAAATCAGCACTGTAATTTGGGCTGTAAAGGTATTTATTGAAAACCTTAATTTTTTGTTCTGTCAGTTTTTTGCGAGTAATTTGTTCTAATATGTAAGCAAAAAGTTTTAATCAATTTAGCTTCAATGTTAACTCTTGTATCACTGAGTTGAATTCCTGAGTTATTCCTGGAGTGTAACTCATAGAGTAATTTCGGATAGGGTACACCGTCTGCTCGTCACGCTATCTTATTTTCGGCCGGATAGATTCGTGCAACTTCTTAGTCTAATACCGATCCTAATCTTACTCTTATACTATCTAGTCTCAGGTTGTTTAACTAGTCTCTGCTAGGCTCAATAGATCTAGGGTATACTGGTTTATTGCGGCTGCTGAAGTGCTCGGGAGAGTCCAACTAATTTCTAAGTTAAATTCAAATCTCTCTGGTGCTGAAATTACAAGTAACTTCAGCACTTACAAATAAGTGGGTTGTTAGTTAGATGGATCATGATTGGTTAATATTAAATACTTTACATTGGTAAAACATTTAATTTATCCAATCATAAAATATAGTTTAGATCAGGTTCCACCCATCCGGGTTTTACAGAGTTTTTTAGAACAGTTCTTTTGTAGTTCAAGGATGGATGATGGACGTTGGTATTCGGCGAACATCATTTTTCTTTTGTTTCCTTTTTGTTAAGGAAGTTCCAGGGATCTGGAATTGAGGACACAAGACGTTGTGTTCTTCTTGTGACAACGACTGAGTCTCTGCAACAGCATCAATTCTGGTTTCAGAATGGTTGGCTATGTCAGGTTTTTCTGTTCTTCGGAGAGAACTTCTTTTGTGTTTGATCTAGCTCGGGAATGGCGTGGAGATTGTGCGTGGAGGGGATGCCTGGTTACTCGGATCTGTACGTATACTTGAACATCGAGGTGGTCATTGGTCTAGTTCAATGAAGTCCTTTTCTGCGAGGTCAAGTCGTACTCTAAATCCTTTGAGTTGTGATTGTGAGCGGCATATCGATTGTAGTTGGTCATTCTCTCTCGAGTGTAGTGAGGTCGTCTTGTCTTTTGATGTTCGTCCTTGGTGTTGTATTCTGATCTATATATTGCATCATGTGATTTTACATTTTATAAAACTTTTATTAATTTAATATTTTTTAATTATGATTTTAGTTAGTTGTTTTCACAAAAGCTTTTTGTTTTAGTTCGGTTATTTTGAAGAGTTACTCACCCTTGAGTAGCTCTTATTAAAAATAAAGGTGTGGTCACAAAGCGTGGATGTAGCACGGTGGGTTAGGCCGGCTATAGAGCATGCTCAGGACGTCCTTTCCTGGTGGGTTAGGCCAGGTGTGGGAGTATGATTTCATGCGGTTTTTATGAGGGGTCCTGTTATGTGACAACATTTTATGTTGGGTTTGTTGTGGTTTTACTTATGTTTTGTTGGTTATGTACTTTTTCCAAAAAGCAAATTGTTTGTGGTATGGGTTTGTCTTTTGACTTTTTTGTGTTTTATTATTTCTTTCTAAGACTTTGTAATAGTCTTCAAAAGAATAAATTATCCAGTTTTAAACTGGGTTAATCCGGTTTGGGTACCGTTGGTTTCCTTTTCTTAGTCATGCTGTTATTTTATGATTTGTGGTATTTAGTAAGCTGCGTTGGTTAGTTTTGTTTAGTATATGATTCCTTTCCAACCGGGTTAAAGGAAAGTTTGAAACTTGTTATTATTTGTTAGAGTTGTTGAGTGTGAAAACTTGAAACTGAAATTCATTATTTTAAACAATTCTTCGTGGGCGAGCTGTGCGAGTGTGGATAGAATTTCTGTGCGAATGAATGAAAATATCAAAAGGTTAGTACTGCAATTGCATTTTATTAATTTACTGCATAGAATTTGGAAATTTACTGCTAGTAATGGGGGAATTTTAAGATACAAATTTTCATCATATGTAGATTTACTGCTTTTAGGGGAAAATTTTATAAATTAATTTACTGCATTGGTATTATATTTATTTAATTGTTGGTGCAAAAGTTAAATAGGGTTTTAAATAGTTTTGAAGAAGTTTGCTATTTTTTATTTTTCTTTTGTGAATTTTTCAGATGATTGAAGATGAAGGCTAAAAATCTAAAGAAAACATGAATAAGGAATGGTGAGTTTTTCAATATTTTAATTAGTTAGTAATATTCATTTAGTTCATACTTACCTGTTAGTCGTCGGGGAAAAAACCGTGGGGGAAGATATCGTGAATTAGTTCTGAAGTTGTTAGTAGTTTAGCTAAGATGCGGATGATATTTTTAGTTTGAAGTAGTGGCCAAAGCAATTGAAGTGCCTTAATAGTGGTTAGTTCTTCAGTGCCTACTGCAAACTCATAAGGTGTGTTTTGGATTAAGTTATATAACTTGTGGTTAAATTTAGTGTTGTGGATGAATTCTAAAATGGGGATTTCTATAGGCTGTACAAACTCGTGCGGGATAAGGAAGGGTCGGGATTCTTCTGCGTTGAAGGTCTTGGTGATGGGGCAGAAAATATACATTTGGGTTATGGGGTCATAATTACGAAGAATACCATGAAGGTTAGTATCTTTAATACAATATGTGAAATTTAGGAAATACGGTGAAGTGTATTTTGAATTGATGAATTGAAAGCGATGGTGTGGTTGTCTAGAGGGTGTGTGGAGGTCAAAGTGATTTTGGATGAAACGATAGTAACTGTATGTATGTGTTTGTTTAGTTCGCAACATAATATCGTGTGAGCAGTGTAAATCTCTTTCGTGTGGTGCAAGGAAATGAAAGGTTAGTGAAAAGATTTGGAAGCGTTCTTTAAAACTTTCGTACGCTTGTGTGCTTGTTAGTGCTTCTGAAATAATGTGATCAAACTTTCGGTCGAAGATGTTTAGTGTAAATACATATGGTGTCTTGATGAAAAATTTCTCGGTGATTTGTGGGTTAGCGAAGCGATCGTCGTCTAAGAATTGATCTTGGTTAGCTCTGATGATGTTGTGATCATAGTATTCTAGTGTGTATTCGTTAGCTCTAGGTGCAGTGTGTATTTTTAGTGATTTTTTATATCCAACGTAAGTAAATTGTCTAGCGGTGAGTGGTGTAGTTAGTCGATATAGCATGTCTTTGTTTCGGTCTATATCAATGGATGTGTTAGTTAAAGGTAAGCAAAGAGGGTTAGTGAAATGATAGTATGAGGTCCAAGAGAGAGTGGGCATTAAAACGTATTCGTCTACAAAGTTGCGTGTTTCGTTAGCGTCATGAGGGGTGTTTAAGGTGTATTGTGGAAATGAGGGTAAAGTGATGGCTAAAAATTCTCTAGTGTTAGTATGTCGGGGGTGGTTGATGTATTCTCGGGCTGTTCCTGGTTTTGCTGGGAAAGGATGGTTGGGGAACTTTCTTTTAAAAGTGCGATAAGCTCTATTAGTGTTGAGTGAGGATTCAGTTGATGTGGATGATGGTGCTAATGATTCGGTATAATTTGAAGAGGGTGTAGGGGGATTGGATGAATCTGTAGTGGAGGAGATTTGGTTTATGGTCGGGGTGTTAAGGTGGTAGGGTTGTTGTTGGAGGGTAATAAAATTGTCTAGCTCTGGGGAGATTCGGGGGGTGTCTGGAGATGATTGGTCAGAATGGTATGAGGAGTAGGTTGGGGTAACTTGGGAAGCATAAGAGGGTGTAGGAGTGATTGGGTCAGGGTTATTTGATAATATGGGTTGAAAAGGAGGTTGAGAAAAATGAGAAGGGTTATGAAAATTATTGGATGGAGATGGTTCTGAGTCGGCAAATTCGTCGGGGGTTTCAATATTCGGGTTATTTAGCTGTGAAATGGAGTATAAAACTGAAATTTGTGAGTTAGTGTCGGAATTCATGCCTGATGTTACATTGCTAGATGGAAAATCGGGTGGCGGAAAAGCAAAAAGTGGTATTATTGGGATTGAAGAGGTAAGGTTGGTTGGATGGGAATTTGATCGATGGAGTGATCCAAGTTGGCGGCTCATCGTGGGCTAAAAAAATTATTATTTTGAGATTTAAAAGCGGTGGTATGGGGCTGTTCAATAATTTGTTCATAAGTATTATCATCTTGTGATGGATGTGTCATTATATGTTGGACGGGACTTTGTGATGTGGTGAGTCGAAAATTTGGATTATGTG